CGTCTGGAATTCCAAAAAGATATCCTTGTGCTTATTGAAATCCTCGAGATAGCTCTCCACATAATTCACTGTATTCATCGTACGACTCCCATACTGCGCTATTAATTGGAAGTCGATTAAGCTTCGTACACATTTCAACGCATTTCCCAAGTCGCTCCTAACAGCCACCTCCGGGTTTCTCAAAGCAGCCGCAAGTGCTCCAAGAATGTCCCGCCCCAGATTTCTTATCTCATTCAGTTGCTATTGGGTTGTAGCATGTTATGCCTTATTCGGTACTGCCAGTCTAGGATAAGGTGGAATCGAGGCCCAAGCCTTGTCAAATTCCTCCAATTGATTGTGCTACTTCAAGAAAGCCTGAACCCACTCCATCATGTACTTCAATATCCCTAGGTAGATATTGTGAAGAATGCCCAGTTTGTTGAGATCGTATATATTAATACTTGGTGTATACCAGAAAGCATTGAAGAGTGTCTTCACTGATCACGTGACAAGATATTCCACCGGTCTCAGGTTTCTCAGGTTCTCCCTCAATAGCTTTACCTTCTCCCGGCAATCCTAGTGATCGTGCATAGGGCTCTGGCGAGTGCTCACAAGACTCTGGAATTCCACCTCGCATCTTGGACAAGAACTAGTGCTAATCTTTTATAAGTTTGCATGCTCAAGTTGATCAGCAATCCAACCCGACAACATCGGAAAGCATAGAAGTTCGTACCCATCGGCGCATGTGATTAGCTCTCCTTCCTGAGAGCACTCCTGAATGGTCAAAGAGATCTCTCCAAGGGCGCAATGCAGCACCATTTGACTCTGACGTCGTAGAGCGGAATTAGCGAGTAAGTTATTCCCGAGCTTATATGGGACTGGCAGTAGCCCTAGGGGAATTAACAAATGCCCAATGGGCTTACTTGGGGCCGATAATTTGATGTTCCCGATGGTAAAATAGATTGGCCAGGCTTTCTTGTCCCCACTAAAATTTGTCAAATGTGTGCCATCTGAGGCACATATAACTAGTACCACAGTCAACCCCTCCGGTAAGGTATTCTGTCCAGAAAGCATTAGCGACTGCTCATAGAGCACTTGTGAGGTTTACTGGACCTGCATTTCCCACCACTAATCTCCCGTATGCATTTCTCCGTACATTCTCTTTCCAGATTCATTATGCTCTACCACTGGTATGTACCCCAATGACTCCCGAAAGGCCCATTGGCGTAGAAGATATCGCACAATTACTATTGGATCCCGGTAATAGTAAGGGGTTTTCTCTTCCCCAATATCCACATCTGAATGATGCCAGCTCGCCTTTCCCAATATGTTTTTGATTTCCTCCAATCTCTTTATAACACCTCATACAGTCCTGTAGGAGCATTTGCTACTGCTTGATGGAGCGTGTGGGAAGAAACTATCGTTATTTCATTGTGAGGCCTTCGACAGTATGAAATAACATGCCATTCTAAACTTATATGCTGAGTTGAATGGGTGCTATGGGTATCGGAGAAGGTTTTGTGACCATTCATCGTAGTTCTCTGATTTCATGGATCCACTAGTGGCGGTACGGGGTTACGAAGAGTTGGATTAGTCAGAAAGGTTCTATTGGGTTCTATAGGGTTCTGTTGATTGTTAATGTATGAGTCATGTTGGATTTGTCATCGCTGGGATTTCCTTGAGTATATTAAGGGGGGTTGTTTGTACTTCTCGTTCTTTTTCTTCTTCTTCTTTCTTTACGCAACGTCTTCTGTAGCTACGCTGTTGTAAAGAACCATGGGTGAGGTAGAAGCTGAGGAGTCGAGGGACATGGTTAGGTTCCCAGAGGGAAGGGACTGGCCTCACACGAGGGCGAGGGATGGTGTAGAGATATACCCGAAGGCAGAGACGGCGGTCTGTACGAGGACAGAGGAGAAGGCAGCGACGAGGATCTGTACGAGGATAGAGGTAAAGGTCCGTACGAGGACGGGGATAACGGCGGTCGGTCGGTGAACTGAGAAGGGCGCGGCGAGGGATAGAGAGGCGGCGAAGATCATAACAGCGGACGTACCAGGCAGGAGGGACAGCAGACGTAACGTGGACTGAGAGGAAAGTAATGTATTGAAGCGGAGCGAACCCCCAAAGTAATAATCCAAAGTAGAATACAAGATGTTGCGTAAGGAAAGACAAAGAAAGACAACAGGAGACACAAGCGACTCTTATAACAAAGCAGATGACAACCGATTATTAATCCCACGGAACCTTCCAGACTTCCTAGCAACTCATACATTTAGTATAGCGGTAGGGTTTGTAACAGCTGTTTATTGCTATACAATACTATCGACCTCTTCTTTCTTTAAGAAGACCACCGCCTCGCTTCCTCCATATCCCGTCGAATCTTACCAATGCTAGAGTCCCGTAGTATCCCTATTGCGAGTTCCCATACCGTCCCCTATTACACCCTTCGTACCCTGCGGAATACTCGCGACTCACCCCCTTGAGATCCGAGTGGTAGAGACGCTCTCCAACACACTCGTAAATCGTTGTCGCTGCCTCATGCCTATTTGCATCTCCATCTGCCTCTTCCATCATAAAATTTGATTTGAAGTCCAGATCTGAATTATTATCAGTATCTTGGTCATGATAATTGATACTGTTGCTCTCCGAACTATTCGAGTGGTCATGGGCATCTGAATAGGAATCGTAAATCCATTCCGGGCTATCGTGAGTGTTATTGGGTATCTTTTGATCGCGCTCCAGGAGTAAAAACTAGTTTCTCAGCCATTCATCTGCTTCAAATAGATGTGTAGTTCGAAGATGTTTATCGAAGTTCGCGGAGGAGCTGCACCAATTGCTGCAAATAGGGCAATACAATTTCATTGAAGTCTCACAATGGTACCAAAGTACTCCCGACAGCACTGAAGAATTGTTTTTGCCAAGGCTGAGGAGGCACTTTCCTGCAGATGCGGATGCAGAGTGCTCGAATGATTTGATTTGTCAGCCAATGAGGCTCTCACCTGCACCCCGTCGGCAAGGCTGACTTTCAGTACGAATCTGATGTCATACATCAGCCCAATTCAAACACAAACACCAACATGAAGAAACACTCACTACCCCAATTAGGCGGCCAGTTATGCTAGATTCTATTACCCTGAGCATCTGCACTCTTTCCCTGAGTACTCGCAGAGTGTCTTGAGATCAAGACAGTGTTCTCAGCGTCAAATTCAACACTAATATTGACTACGAGCTCAAAGAATACATTCTCTCCGAATCAGCCTCCTAGGAGACAGAGCACCAATACTAAGAAGCGTATAAACATCAACTCCAACACCAGAACGTTATCAATGTCACCATTGATACCGTCTGAGTATCTCCGAATGCGCCTGGAGCATTTAGATCATCAACATCATGTATTGAAGCAAACATTGAGTATGAGCACCCTCGAATCGGAGTGCTTCTAGAGCATCCTTGAGTGCTCTCGGAAGCATGGTAGGCTCAAGAAAAAAGCTGATCGTACTCTGTATAAGAGCACCCCTCCCTTCCTTCAAGTTCATGAGAAATTCCTAAACACCTTCAGTTCTCCTCTACTTATCACTTCAAGTTCTCCATTGCTTTCAACATTACCTGGTGAAATCTCATCCTTCAAGTTCCTCCGTTTTCAAGTGATTCAACCTTTGCAACCTTTATAAATAAGATGGTATTGCTCTCTCCTAATCTAATTAATTTCAGAACCATACTCACCACAGTAATACGTTAATATTATCAGACTCCAAACACCACTCAGAGCACTCCCGGTAGCTACAGGAACACAAATCAACTTCCCAATAAGAATTCCTTGTGTGACATAGACGAAGACGATAACAAAAAGACGTAACGAAAATCCAAGAAAGACAAATCGTCCCGAAAACATGAGAAACACTGAGGTTCCTCAGGTCGCAAATTGTCTTGCAAAACTGTAAAGCCTATCCTGGAGAAGATATCAGAAATACTCTGGAGGCAGTCGCCTGTGCTTTCTGAGTTCATCCTGATCGACAAGAGCTGAAAACAAGACCATGTACCTCCACCAATCCAGACTGAACCCCACACTCCGCCAAATACTAATCTAGCTCCATTGGACACTGAAGGGATCTTCCCGAGTAACTGGGGAGCAACTATAACTGATTCCGCCAATCAAGACCCAGCAACAGGTCCAGCAATAGACCCAGCAACAGGACCACTAGCAGCAGTCTCCACTGCTTCTTCAACACACACTAGTGCTTCACTAGAGCCCCTTGTACGGACTACCGTACTTAGGGTTAGTGCTACCCCACTACCACCCGCTAGTGCTACATGAAAAAACATTGCCCAGAAGATCATAGTATCAGGTCAAGTTCTCACTCGGTCCAAGTCTAGTCCAGTCCGCTCAATAGGCCCAGCAGCAACAGGCCCAGCAACACACCCAGCAGGCTCTACTACTCCTTCAACACTCATCAGTGCTCCACCAAAGGCTTTTGCACTGGAGACCCCTATATTGAAGCCCCGATGCCCCTCTCGGTTATTTTCTTGTACAAGTCTATCTGAACTAATAGACCACCCCTCACCAGTACCACAGAGACGAAATAGACCTGAGTCATCGCCGATTCTCCAAAAGAGATCCCCGATTGTTCAAGAGACATCCCCGACTGTTCAAGAGATATCCTCGAGCTCGAGGACATTTAAGATAACTCAAGCAACCAAAGCGAATATGACTTTAGGTCTAATCAAGCTACCTAAACTGTACACCAGCATCGGCAACGGCCTAAAGACGGAAATTCAAAATCTAGGTTGAGCCAATAAAAACACCTCCGGATTGGCTGCGTCTAATACCCTATGCCTTTACTTAATGAACCCGCCCTCCCTTAATAGTTTTCTGACAATTTGAATTAGGGGTGACGCTGATACCTATAGAGCACTAGTGAGTAGTCTACAGTAGCTCATCGTGGATATTGGTACGAAGGATAAGTCCTCAAGGGGACAGGGAGACTATCAGTTGAAAGATGCTGCCAGTGATAGTGATGATGACAATGACGGCAGTGGTCAGGCAGCTGGAAGAGACTAACGCAAAGAAAAAGAGTGTGCAGTACCCCCACAACTCGTTTGACCTTCCATAATGGTTACCGTGGTCGACTCCGATGGTCTAGGGCAGTCTTTATCCTTGTATCACTACTTGCTTATGCCTGGAATGATCCCCTGACCGAACCTTTGTTCATCGGAATTTTGACCAAGATAACTTTCCCCAAGTTATGCAACTTGATCATGAAGTACACCGCATCTGGCAGAGCAATCAGGACTATCTGAGGAGCAATTGAGAATATCCTCCTAGCAGCTGTTTCTCCCGTTCAGCCGGTGGAGGTACAAATTACGGATTCAGAGTAGCTCGAAGGTTGGTTGAAGAACAGCAATGCCAAGCCTCGGAGGATATTGGCAGTCATCAACAGAGCAGGTGCAGATGCTAACCTGAGTGGTGCAGAATCCCCCCATTGAACCCGGCTTTCCCTCAAGTGGAGGAAGATGATTCTAGCATGATCGATATTCGTGCAGAGGATTCGGATTACGAGGAGGAAAAGCACTGGATAAATACCAAAGGACTAAGGTTATATATGTCTAGAACTGATGCCAGTAATCAAATGCTAATTCAGACTCTTGTTAGGCATCGCAATAGACAGCAGGATGCTACCGACGATTTAGACCCCAAATACATTAGGAAGTATCCTTTGGATGTCAGGCTTGCTTACCCAAACTTCTTACAGGGGACAATTTGGACACCTGCCGGGATAGCAGCCAAGAGAGCTGCTGATGCACTCACGGTTGCTGGTGCTGGAGGTGGTAGAGGTAGTGGTGGTGGAGGTAGCCATAGTGGTGGTGGTGTTGGTGGTGGTGGTAGTGGTCTAGGACCTCCTCCTCCTCCTGGAGGCTGTACTAGTGGAGGATCAGCTGGAGACAGTGATGGTGGTGGAGATGATGGGTTTCATGGATCGACTAGTAGAGGTACGGGATTACGAAGAGTTGCATTAGTCAGAAATGTTCTATTGGTTTCTATCGGGTTCTGTTGATTGTTAATGTATGAGTTATGTTGGATTTGTCATCGCTGGGATTTCCTTGAGTATATTAAGGGGGGTCGCTTGTACTTCTCGTTCTTTTTCCTTCTTCTTTCTTTACGCAACGTCTTCTGTATCTACGCTGTTTATTGCTATACAATATTATCGACCTCTTCCTCCTTTAAGAAGACCATCGCCTCGCTTTCTCCGTGTCCTGTCGAACCTTACCAACGCTAGAGTCTCGTAGTACCCCTATTGCGAGTTCCCATACCATCCCCTATTCTACGCTTCGTACCCTGCGGAATACTCGCTACACACCCCCTTGAGAATGGGCCAGCTGGAGGCAGTGTCAATAGTGGTGGTGGTGATGGTGACGGGCATCATTAATTCCCTTTGGTATAATCTCTAACTTCCCTTCCTGTGGAATTATCACTAACCTTAAAATAGTTGTTATGATTACTCTCTGAGCACTCACGTTAGCTGTTGAAGTGCGACACAATTTGGTGTTTTGGATTTCCCTTTGTATATCAATGGATAGGTTATATCAGATTAGGTTAGATTAGATTAGATTAGATTAAATTAAATTAGATTAGTCCAGATAGTAATTGCAATGCTTTTATTTCAAAGTCGAATCAAACTCCTAGATTGCTCTCAAAGCAATCAGTACCGCTTCAGAAAGTGCAGTAAAACGAGTGATGATAAATGATGTGGTTGAGTGCGGAAATAACGGTAACACTTGATGATCCTTGCCTTGTGAAGATTAACGGCGCAAATTTTCTCACCAAGAATTGATTTCTACTTGAAGATATCGCGAGTGATTCTAGAGCACTGCGGATATTCCTACCAGTCATCAGAATGGCTCCCACCAAGCACTTTTCTAGTACAGCACCTCATGCACCAAAGCGTCCACGACTCCTAAGACTACCTGAAGAAGATGGAGAGACCGATAAGTCTGAGATGTTTTACCGACCATTGACTACAGTGCCAGCCCGCACTCAGAGTAGTCAATCGACCATCGCCACCCAAATAACTTGGAAAGGTCTTCTCGGTTCTTCTGAAACCCCCAGTGGGAGGAACAGTCCTTGGGGGGTAGAATTTCATCTCCTCAAGGATCATACTGATAATTTTGAAGCGCAGGAGAAGCCTGAGGCAATTCAGGTGCCTGAGATGGAAGAAATAGTTGATACTAGCCAATCAGACCATGATGATGCTCCGGAGAACGATAACAAGAGCTCTGAAGAGGATAAGGATGAACCAGAGAATGAACCTCAAGCCCCCTCCCCTTCTTCCACTCAGAGGTCTCAGACTGTCGGAAAGTGACCTCATACAGTTCACTCAACCACTGCCAGAGCACTGAGTAATGCTCGGAGGAAACCAACTGCAGCGGCAGCGAAGGTCATTGCTTCTTCCAAGGTATTGGTGAACGTGGTCCAGGTTCGACTCTATCTCACTCACTGATGCTTTTGAACATGTAAGTACTGGTGGCTAACGATTCAGAGGGGAACTCGATGGGGCTCAAAAGTAATATATAAACAAGAGAGAGTAGCATCTGTAAAAATATGGCATTGCGACATCGGTTATGTATGGTAATTACTCATGTATAAGGGATGACTCATAGTTGGAACAAGGAGGCTTAGCGCTAGGATTATGTAATCAGGGGATCACGTGGTACTAAGAACTATCTGTATATAAGGAGTAACAAACTCCCATAGTTGTCGCTGGAACTCAGCGGCGCAATAGTATCTTCTTTGCACTATAAACATATCCCTCTCAAAGGTCACGTGTTCAAACCCTCCTCAAGTCGTCTATTCTCCCACACTCCAATCCACAGGTTATGAGCCCGGGTTCTGCCAAATAGAATCCGCACTACACCATCGCCACCTCGCTTAACTCAACAACACTTCATACAACATCATGCCTTCAGAAGGAGAATCGTCATCCAAGGCTGCTGAGATTAAACCCTCAGAGACAACAGCTACCAGTAACATTCGTCTCAAGTTTGATGGACTCCCTAAACTACAAGGGCAATCCAACTACCAAACTTGGGCGAGTGCCTGGAGGATAACGTTCGACGCTGTAGACTGGTGGGAAGCGTTGAGTATCGAGAATCCTGACGAGAATGACACCGAACTCAGCAAAACCGAGATAAAGAAGGCTCGTAAACAAATGCACAGCCTTCTCATCTCTGCTGTATGCGAAGAAATACAACCAACAGTCGTCTCCGCCGAAAATGCATTCTACGCATGGAAGGCGCTCAAAGACCTCTACGATCGTGTCTCACCCAACACCACGATCACCCTCCTCAGCCGCGTCCTAGACACGAAGATGCAAGAAGGCGGATCACTGACCGAGCATCTCGCGACCTTCGATGCGAACTGGAATACTCTCAAGTCCAGATGCCAAAGCGCAGATCACAAACTCGCTCAGGCCCTCCTACCACTCACCAAATCCAACGAAGCCATGGCGGCATTCCTCCTAAGCTCGCTACCCAAATCGATGAGCAACGTCGTCGACAACATCCAGACCAAGCAGGATGTTACCTACGAAGACGTACGCCAACGACTACAGAACCTGGATGAGGTACCCCCTCAAACAGGAAACAAAGTGCTCCATACCAGGAGTACCACAAGCGACAAGGAATGCACCTGGTGCAAGAAAAGGGGACAGCCTTACAAAGGCCACGAGTACACGGAGTGCAGAAAGCTCAAAGAACAGAACAAGAACAGAAAGGGAAGGAGGAAGGACAACTCGGCATCGGTTGTAGTAAATGACTCTACAACCACTATCTGTATGGTACGCCACGACATCTCCCAACCCCTTACTTGGATCCTTGATTCTGGAGCGACCTCTCACGTCACACCCTTCCAAGACCAACTCATCAACATCCGACCTCACACCGGCAATGTCCGAACAGCTGATGGAACCAACCACGCTGTCACCGGAATGGGAAGCGCTAGTTTCAGCTGCCACCTTCCCGATGGAAGTAGATCTTCCATACTCCTCACCGATGTGCTGTTGGTCCCAACCTTGGGAAATGTGGGATTGGTCTCTGAAACCGTGCTCGACAAAAAGGGATTTAGAACGGAGTCAGGAGGAGGAAGCAAGTTGGTTACAAAAGAAAAGAAAGGAATAATTTGGGCAAAATTGGAGAAGGGACTTTGGAATGTACAAGTAGTTAGCAATACAGTTCGTTTGACCTCTTACGATGAATGGCATCAAGCGTTAGGCCACCCTGCGACACTAGAAAACTTGTATCACGACATTCAAAGGCTGCCTCCCAAACCAGAAAGTTTCCACTGCAGTCAATGTGCACTATCAAAAAGCGTACATAAGAAACCTGCACCAATTAGTACTAGATCCAAACGACCATTCGAACTAATCCACTCCGATCTATCTGGAAAGTTCAGTATACAGTCACAAGGAAAATCTCAGTACTATATGTCCTTCATCGATGATTTCACCCGCTTCGCATGGATATACCTCCTGAAACAGAAAGAAGACGCAAAAAAGGCCATCAAGGATTACGTTACAAGGATCGAGAAACAGTATAGCACAACAATACTGAGATTCAGAACGGATGGTGGTGGTGAATACATCAACAAGGACATAACGAACTACTTCGATTCACAAGGAATAGTTCACGAACAGACTCCCCCATACACTCCTGAATCTAATGGAGTTGCAGAACGATTCAACAGGACGGTAACCACAATGGTCAGGTGCATGATCATGGACCACCCTAAGTCGTTATGGGGGGAAGCATATGCAACAGCTGTCTACCTCAAAAACAGGCTACCTCACAGTACGCTTAAGGGAAAAACCCCCTTTGAAGCCCTGAAAGGAACCAAGCCAAGTATACAACACCTTCAACCATTCGGCAAAAAATGCTATGTCCACATCCCAGAAAACTCTAGGCCAGCAGGAAGCAAACTAGCACCCCGAGCGTATGAAGGAATCATAGTTGGATACTCAGACAGTAATAAAATATACCGTATCTGGATAGGAACACAACATAGGGTAATTGAAAGTCGGGACGTCACATTCCCCCCTCCTGAATCAGGGGAAGTCTCAGTGGAACTCGACTTCATCCCCAGCCTGAAACCAGAAACGGCAAATGCACCATCAGACGACGGATACGAATCAGAAGACAGGTCTGATCCAGAACCCGAGTCAAATGCAATCGAAGAGAACCGTACAGAAATGCCAGGATTGTTCCCGGAATCACCGGAACTGGTTAGAAAACCACCACCGGCTACACCAGACAAGGGAAAACAACCTGCCGTACCTATGGGACAATCGCGAGACCCAAGAGACAACTGGGAGAAAATTCCAGCACCAGTCGTACCATTCAAAGGTTTCAAAGGAAAACCACTTGTGTCAACGACACCCAAAGGTACACCACCACAACCTCCAAAACGATCAGATCGAATACGCCAGCGAAAAAATAGAGAAATTGAAATAGAAGTACGAAGGAAGGAGTATGACGAGAAGGTAGTAGAACAACAGAAGTTACTTACAAGTTATATCGAAGATGTGAAAGAAAATGGCCCAGGAAACAAAGCCACTGAACAAGAATTAATCGATCAATACAAAGAAGACTTCAGACGTTATAGGGCTGAGTTAGACACGGAATATCAAGACGTATCCAAACTCCCCCCGAACTACCATATACACCTCGTAACAGAACCTTCCACCTTCAATCAAGCTATGCAGAGCGACGATCAACACCTATGGAAAAAGGCGATACAGACTGAGAAAGACGCCCTTGACAAAGCCCACACCTGGGATATTGTCAACAGACCATCCAACCGAGCAGTAGTCAAAGGAAAATGGGTATTCAAAGTGAAACACAACGCGGACGGAACAATCGAGCGGTACAAAGCAAGGTACGTTGGTAAAGGCTTCACCCAAGTACAGTACCAAGACTACGATGAGACCTTCGCCCCCGTCGCACGATATGATTCCCTACGACTCCTACTGGCACTAGCTGCACACAACGGTTGGATACCACAACAAATGGACGTCAAGTCAGCCTTCCTGTATGGTGTACTCAAGGAGGAAATCTACATGGAACTGCCTGAAGGCTACAGGCAGGACAACAAGGTTTGTAAACTTCGAAAATGCATATACGGACTAAAGCAATCACCCCGTGAATGGTATGCTTGCCTAGCAGACTCCCTTCAACGGAAAGGATTCGTCCCAGCCAAATTCGACCCATGTGTCTTCATACATAAGAACCACCATCTATACATATCGGTGTATGTAGATGACATCATGATATTCGGACCCGACTCCCCATTCAGAAAAGAAATCAGACAACTACTCAAGGCAGATTTCGAATGTACGGATCTCGGTAACTCGAAGTTCATACTGGGAATAGAAATAACGGTAACCAACAACGGTATCACACTATCACAACGCGCATACATCAACAAGATCCTGGATAAATTTGGAATGAGTAACTCCAAACCAGTTGGCACACCACTCGAACCGAACCTCAACCTTCACAAAGGCGAACCGGAAGACCAAATCGAGAAACCAACTGAGTACCAATCCATAATAGGATCACTGATGTACGCGAGTATAGCTACCAGACCTGATATCACCCATGCCGTTACCGCTCTCTCCCAGTACTCCTCATGTCCAACCGAGGACCACCTACGAGCAGCCAAGCGAACTCTCCGATACCTCAATGGAACCAAAGACTGGAACTTGTTCTACCCGAAGGGGAATACTAGAACACTCGACGGATTCTCAGACAGTTCCTACGCTTCAGACCTAGATGACAGAAAATCGTTCTCAGGATACGTGTTCAGACTAGGGAAGTCAGCCATCAGCTGGAGAAGCCGGAAGCAGAAATCAGTCGCAGTCTCAACAACAGAAGCCGAATACATGGCCCTGTCCCTCGCAGCTCGACAACTGGTATGGATTCGTAACGCCTTGCTCGAACTCCAACAACAATACCAGTACTTCATACACGCCGACAACACAGGTTCTATTGAACTCTGTCGGAACCCACGCATCCACGATCGGTCCAAGCACATCGACGTTCACTACCACTATACACGTGAACAACTCGAAGCCGGAACCTTCGAAATCCTCTACGTCCCTACCGAAGACAATGTCGCGGACATAATGACCAAAGGACTACCAAAACCAGCTCACCAAAAATTGTCAGAATTGATACGATGTGGCAAGTGAGGGGAAGTGTAAAAATATGGCATTGCGACATCGGTTATGTATGGTAATTACTCATGTATAAGGGATGACTCATAGTTGGAACAAGGAGGCTTAGCGCTAGGATTATGTAATCAGGGGATCACGTGGTACTAAGAACTATCTGTATATAAGGAGTAACAAACTCCCATAGTTGTCGCTGGAACTCAGCGGCGCAATAGTATCTTCTTTGCACTATAAACATATCCCTCTCAAAGGTCACGTGTTCAAACCCTCCTCAAGTCGTCTATTCTCCCACACTCCAATCCACAGCATCCACTTTAGCACTCAGTTAGAATGCATCTCAGGTAGCACTCCTGGCATCCCAGAGAGAACCCCTAACACCCTCACAGTATAGGGCCTCTGCACCTATTTATCGTCATGAGTATACCTCTTTCACGCACTATATCGATTTTTCATCGATACGCTCTCGACACGGGGAGTAGTCCCCAACTCACCGGACATATCGTTCTTCACTGTCTAGTGGGGTAATTGGCGAGCACTCTGTGAGCAGTCGTCAGATTCCTTCAAACCAACTTCAAGGTCAAGGTCAATCGCAAAGAGTCTACCAAATCGAGTACCTTCCCTCATCTATAGAGGAGGACAAGAGTGCTCCGATGCCGGAAAGTGATGGTTATTGATTCCAGGAAGCGAGGTTAATATTCTAGAGGACACTCACGATGTCTTTGAGAATACTGACAACATTCCTTCGAGCTAATTGACTCAGAGGTCTGTGGTCTCTAACTCTACGAATGCATATGTGCTCTCAGTCCAGGCTCAGAGAATTGAGAAGGTGTGAATCGTGTTAATTGGGGAGCATATTCTTCTATATGAGCTCTTTCCACCTGCAGCAAGACTTTCGATACTGGTAGTGAGCATGTGGGCAACTGCAAGTCGCTGAGTGAGGTGCAGAGTAGACCTTGATAAGGTCATTATTAAATAGGTTTCATGGATCGATTAGGGAATGTACTGGGTTACGAGGAGTTGGGTTAGTCAGAAAGGTTCTATTGGGTTCTACCGGGTTCTGTTGATCGTTAATGTATGAGTCACTTGGGATTTGTCATCGCTAGAATTTCCTTGGGTATATTAATGGGGTTCTTTCTTATTTCTTGTTCTTTTGTCTTTCTTTCTTTCCTTACGCAACGTCTTCTCTATCTACGCTGTCTATTACTCTCCGCTGTCTATTACTCTACAATATTATCCTCCTCTTCTTTACTTGGGACGACCACCACTTCGCCGCCCTTTGTCCCGTTGACCCTTACTGACACTAGAGTCCCTTAGGGCCCCTATTGCGAGTTCCCACACCGATCCCTACTACACCCTTCGTACCCTGCGGAATATTCGCTACTCGCCCCCTTGAGAAGAAGTGAATAGAACTGGGAGGCCACCTTGGAGGTAATCAAAGATAACCTTCGAGAAAATTTATGATACGTCTAGATGCCGGTAATGCGAGTGGTATTCTAAATGCTAACCCTAATAGATACGAGACAAAAATGGTGGAACTATTGAGGTGATACCGGAGGAGGGTTTTAGCGAGGACGATCAAGCACTGGGTGCAGATCTTGCCGCATTCTGAGATGCTCGGAGAACTCCCATGAGTACTCCAGGAGGTCGGGTTGGTTCCCACAGTGCCCAGGATGAGGTGATTAATGCTCAACTTCGCGGCATTGACACCGAAGAGGAAGGGGAAGAGGAAGAAGAGGAACCGGAATTATCTGTAGCGGGGGATTACGAAAGGGGGAGGAGCAGGATGTGTAGAACAATAGCGAGCACTAAGGAAGATAGTGGAGGATTTGTTCTTTTCTGTATATTGTATTAGGATTAGTTAGGGTGTTAAATAGCGTATTGTTTTAGTATTAGTTGGAGGATCATGCTGTTGAATAGACCAATTCTAAAAGTGCTGCCGCGAGTGCTCTGGAGGCAGTAGAGATCGTCGTATGAGTGATATGTTGGTAATCTCATGGGGGAATTGTGAATACCAGAGGGCGGTACGGTGGAGAAGTGTATGCCTGGAGAGAATGGGGCGCTGACATATAGGAACCAGTATGTCGAGCGTGAACCAAGTTTCAAAACACCTAATCCGGCAAAGTCAGGGGGGGTCAGGGCAATTATTCTATCCAAGGGCCAACTGGAGCAGTTGGAAGTTCTCCAGAAGTAGTCGGGAGTGCTCCAAGAGCAGTCAGGATATACTAGCGAGCAACTGGTATTCTCTGACGACCGGACTAACATCCGGGTTGCGCCGAGCACTCTGATTAGGTATCGGGGCACGTTGGGTGGACTAGTGTATGCTGGAGTGGACAACCGTACGCCAGAACTCACCAGGAGTGCTTGCGGTATGTTTGGAGAGGTAGTTTACCTACCGAGTGCCCTGAGCGCCCTGAGCACCTCGGGCATCTGGCGAAGGCTGCAGGTTTGCTGATGTGGTAGAGATCAATCCATGCAACTCCATGGGGCGAGGACGGCTCCTGTCTGATTGGAGCCAGGGATTCGAGACCAATGGCAGAGTTAACTTCGGACTGCTAAGGCTAAATTCATAAATAGAATCACCAGACAGGATCCGCCGTCACTTATAGGTAAACGACTATATCTGCAAATAGCTCAACTCTGGGGTAGCATTCTCCTTCCATGAGGAACCAGGAGAGACAGAGTTGATCTCAGGTGGGTCCGAAGTACAGAAAATATTATTAGGGCAGCTTAGAGTAGTGATTTCACCACGACTTTTACTACTGTAGGCATTGCCCTTGACTTTTAATGACCAAGTCGCGTTTTAGAAAAGAAATACTCGCTCAAATTAGCTCGAATCGCAGGCGGTGTCTAAGGTTATAATCGTTTGAAGTATCTAATCGCGTACTTAGTACTATAGTGGGGTCTTGGAAGAGATCTAGATATATATAGAGATAATATGGTGCAGACAATCTTAAAAGGTGATACAGCGGTATCTGGAAGTTGAACAATCGTGGCTGCAAGATGACTCCTAGGCCAACCAGAGGGCCTATTTCTAGCCACTTTGTTGCTTTCCTGCCGCAATTCGCATTTGAGGGGGTATAAATGCCGATAATACTGTTACACTTTGCACAGTTATTGCGCTACTCACATGCAAAAATAGTCGATCCCAATCTCTAATAACTTCACAAGTACGTATACTAGGATACATGTAGATATCAAAAACCTGCAAATTAAAAGCAAATTAAACTTCATCACTACTACTACACCTTTACTAATTTATGGAGGAAATCTTTATGTTTTCTGCTGGAAAGATTATTAGAGATTGACTTTTCGTCACTTTTAGTTACCTTTCACTAGACAGGGGCATCATACATGAATACATGTATGAATGTATACTAAGTGACCATCTTTTGTACATGTATCTACAGAGTTTTTCATAGGCTGACCCGGCCGGCCTAAAAGCAACTTGGACTGGTCCCGCCAAACGGAACCAGGCGGTGGCCTGTCTATTGTATTATGTATGGAATGAAGCCCGGGCCTTTAAAGCTTTACGTAAATTTATACCATTTTGAAAAATATTCTTCGCTATGCATCGATGCTCAAAATATGTAAGATTATTCCAAGGCCTTTTTCATATAATCCAATAGGACCTAGCTACTTATAGACGTGCAGAAATAAATGTCAGATATTTTGGCTCCTATAAACTGCGTATGAAGCCAGGGGCTTATTTATATCAGGAATAAGCCCTAGCTACGTCGTAGTACTAGGCTAAGTACAGGGCTTGATCAATTGACCGTATAACTCCATGGATCCAGCTGCAGGCCTATATTATCTCAATTGATTAAAACCTCTGCTTATTTACGTACTTGTGTATATGTAGTATATATATGTGTGTTTAATTGATTTCTAGACATCCTGCAGGTAGCGTAAGAAAAGAACGTTCGCTCTAGTACCAAAGCGCCTTCGTGATAAGGTTATAGCAAAATTACATGTATGTTTACAGCCGGGGGCGGGTGCAAAGTATACGTACGCAATTTACGTACACGTACAGTTGAATGCCACGTACCCGGCCTTAAATAAAAGTATTTAATTTTTCACTCGTTACCATAGATCAACTACACCTCTCTCCATCCTAACACGATACATGTTTCCAACTACTTAACCTATCCGCTCTCCATCTAAAAATAGCAGTGATCTTCCTTTCACGTCAAAAAGAACGCTTTCTTCTGCTGCAGATAACATATACCCGTTGCATCTTGGTCATTATCGTACGTTAAGCTCAAGATTGTTGATCTTTCATCATCATTCGGTCGTGAATTGCGTATACACCAGTCTCCGTTCCATTCGGTATTGATATAACTCCCCCAACCATATTCACACCCTCAAACCTGCTCTGAGTATACCCCACCCACCCACCCTTGAGTGCGTGGCTGTGAAGTAAACTAAAGGTATAAGTTTCATTGAGATAGTAATCGCTTCATCGTTAACGATCACATTCTCAGTTAAAGATCACATTCACACTCCGGCCCTGCAATAAGCTTCTATCTACCATTCGTTATTGATTTAACTCCCGCAAACACCATACCCTCAAATCTGCTGTGAGTATATCCCCCCTACCCTTGAATGCGTGGCTGTGAAATAAGCTAAAGGTATACGTTTCATTGAGATAGCAATCGCTTCATCGTTAAAGATCACATTCCCCTCCTACAACAAGCTCATACCTATCATCCAGTACCGATTCAACTTCAGCAAAGATAACGGATCTATAAACGAGACAGGTCACATCTTCTTCTTAGCACAGCTTAGCGGTAGGAATGAAAATGAAGCAGGGAAAAAGCTACTTACCACTACCTTTTGAGCAAGCTTTGAGGCAGGAAAGGTCCTTTTCAGATGAGAGCATGAACAGTCTTCATAAGGACGCGGCAGAGAGCTTCACAATTTGGAGGAACAACAAAGATACTATTACGGCCCATGAAGATATGATTGATGATTTGAATAAATTTCTCGAGGAAGCGTGTCAGCAAAAAGAACAGCAAGAGCGTCATAAGTCGAAGGTGTGGAAACTTGGATATAACTTCGCCTTGAGACAAATGTCTTTCCTCTTTCTTAGCATTTCTTGCACTATCCTAATGATCGTATTTTCGTGCACCGAAACCTATCCCGGTAAGATACAAAAGGCTATTGAGATTCGTATATTGGACGTCTTTTGCAACATAACCGAGTTCCTAATTCTCCTACTACACGACACGGTGACAACATCGGCTCTACTAGTCGATCTTATTGCATTTATATCGACACTAAGCTTCAAAGCGGGCCAGGCCTTTCTCATTGCCCGGCTTGTCCAACCAGCGGATCCGGTAGAAGGTACAGTGGGATACTTCAATGCCTTATGTCCAGCCATTGTGGCAGGTGTCCGTCATGTCCATTGCGTGAGAGCCACGCCTGTGATGACACCGGGTATTTTCAGTGGTGGTGCAGTATTTGAGAATGTGGCTCCCTTTAAGGAACGATTGACTGATCCAGTGCTGCAAGAGCTATTAATGTCCGTAATGATTGGTAACTTAACCATAACCCTTGTCTACCGTTTAGAGACCCTCATAACTTCGTTACTAAAAGGCACATATGTCTTTCTTAGGCACAATTAAGGTGAAGGTGTCTTCGCCGATTGACAATCAATAACTTGGCTGTTCATAGCTACACAGAAAGATAAAAAACTAGAAGAATTTCAATAATATTAATTAACCGTATGTAGGAAATAATGAACTTCCCCAGAGAAAAATGGAATTTGCTGTTGACTTTCTCTCGCACAAAGCTGGCACATTTACTGATGCTTCTCCGCTCCTCAGACTAGAAGGTCTCTATGCTTAGGCTGGGGCGGGAGAAGGGGGTGGTAGCAGATCCTTGAAAATAAGGATTTAAAGTATTGTTAGATAGATAACTATTCTGCAATAGCTTCGTTCATGCACAATTCGCTCCAAAGAACTACCTTACCGTCGAAACGGGTAAAATAATAAGGCTGATTTTGAGCTCTAAGACGTAGAAAAGTCTTAAATAAGGCATATGTGTCAAAAAAGCAAAAAAATAAGCCTGTTTTGGGCGAAAGCATGACATTTGTTTAATATTGCCTCCAAATAAGGTTTTTTTAAGACTTGTTCTGGTATTAGATTTACCAAATGAATAAGACTTAGGGAAACTCGTCAGGATTAAGGGTAGTAAGGCTGGGTTAGGGTTAGTCACTTAGCAAATATCAAACCGTGTCCTTCTATCTGTTCTTTAACCTCTCTTCCCTATACGTACCTCTCTACCATCTCCACCTCCTCCCCTCCATCTCTCAACCACCTCCACCCCGGATTCCGCTACCCCCCCCAAAACCCTCTCCCAATAATCAAAATCAATATTAAAACATTAGCTAATCCGCGAATTGAGCAGTGAATTGAGCAGTAAATTAAGCAGCGAATCAAGCAGCGAATCAAGCAGGTATGTAGCTCTAAACACCGAACGAATCGAAGCATCAAATCCATCAGCTAATCTATCAAGTAATCAAGCAGGTAATGCAAGACCGAATACAGCACCAAATCTAGCACCAAATGCATCAAATTTGGCGAATTGGTATCTATAGGCAGGCAGGCAGACAGGCAGGCAGGCAGGTAGACGGATAGATAGATAATAGGTTGTCTTATATCAATGTAGATATTAAATCCAGTATTAATAAAAACTTCATTCCCGAAAATTACTATGGCGAATAAGTGTAAAAACATACCTATCAGGCCATCATGCTGATCCCATGAATAAACATTATTAAGTCTTATTTTCAAAAAATACCTTAAATAAGACTGATCAATGCCGTTAAGCCTTAAAATATTTTAAGATTATCAAAACCATTGTCTAATAAGGACCTTAAAAAGAAATAAGAGAAAATCGTCAAAAAAGGCGAATATCATGCTTATATAAGCCTAAAATAAGGCTTAAAAAAATACCCGTTTCGACGGTAAGGTACCCTTCTGTAGCATGATATCGAATGATAGTAAAATCAGCATAATCTCTAGAAATATTAAGCTCCGCCCCAAACGTTCGTATTAGTTCCTGGGAAGGTGCTCGCAACAACGTTGAAGAGCGTTATCGAAAAAGAGCTCAAGTTTTATCATTAAATCATGCGTTGTATCACCAGTAACAATACATGAATCCATACAAGTATTGATGGTCCTTTTATAGTGCATCAGCAGTAACAGACAAAATTGAACGCGGTTTAGGTTCTATACATTTACTATATCGCCGGGTACCGCTCATACTAAGTATTCCGTTACTACATGTACTTACACATTGAGAAATTGCTGTTTGATTTGTGTGCGGGTGATATATAATATATTGATAAGCCGGCCATGTGTGTGTTCCCTCGATGGGGGATTAACACAATCTATTAAGAAAGGGGAGTCTCCGCAAGCCTACTGTCCCTTTCTTTGAGTGAAGTCTATGAACATAGAGTAACGGTGCACATGCTAGCTAGACGAAGATGTAGTGAACGATCGTAAACTCAATGGGCTCCAACTCCCTATTCTCCTGACACACAGTCAAACCTTAAAAGCCATGTCGATGAAGCTGAGCACGGGTTTTATATGGGGATGTACGTATGGGCCGGGGCCTTCTCCTCTCGATAATAGTACCAGGCAATGCTTTCTTCGTCGAAGAGTCCCCACGGCTTCTCATCGCCCCGAACCCTCGACCCTAAGAGCCTTCTTGTCTTCCACATCGCCCTCTCCACCTCCTCTGCCCATGGCTTCATCGCCTGTATCCGCTCCTGCCGCTGTTCCCAGTATTCCAGCATCGGCAGCAGGTCCCCTCCGCTCTCCAGCTTCTTCAGAGTATCCACCTCCTGAAAAAGTCCCAGAAACGCATCGTTGCCCGCCACCCCCAGCTCCTCCAGCCAGCACAGCAGCGCCTTGACTTCCTCCTCCTGGTCCTGCGCGCGGTACCGCGTTGTCGGTGGCGGACTGAGGTTCAGGAATCGGGATATATCGTTAACCGCACCGTATGGGTGGCGCGAGCGGCGGCCCGTGAGTGTCAGCCAAGGGTGGAGACCACTCCAATGCACAATCAGGAAGCAGGCCTCCGTGAGCATCTGAGTGCGTCTAGCGAGTTCCGCACGATAGGTCATGACGAAAGAGCGGACCTTAGAGTATCTCGTCCGCATGTCATTGCTACAACTGATAAGGTGCGTGTGAGATTCTAGAGGAGGAGGAGAACTGGGGGGGATTCAAGAACTTACAAAGGCCATATTTCCTTTCTGGCGAAGCTGAACATGATGTGCGCTATGATTGTGTTCTCGGATGGAACGTAGGGCGGTTTGGAGGCGAAGGAGCAGCGGATTGAGGTTGTTGATTGTCGGTTACTGTATACCCAGTGCCCTCGCTATTACGAGGAAACTTCCTGTTGTTTTTCAGCGGACAAAGATGAGGGAGGTACCTATTGATGATGCAATGTCTTTCCTTGACTTCTGAACCAATATGAGGGATGATGATCGATATATCTGAGCGGAAATAGGAAGAAGAAGAAGGAAAGATACAAGATGTAGATGGAACTGCATCCATGATGTATATACATATGCATGGCCACTGTAACCGTTCTTATAACTCGCTTATCCTTGCTTACTAACCTCACTCTAGCTACCGTAATCATGTGACACCTGTTTTAACGCTACATACATGTATGCAGCAGCTATATCGATGGCTCGATCGACTTGAGATATAGCTTGGGCTATGTGTACGTTACTATTGTTAGATATCCGGCCTGAGGGGAGTAACTTTGGGCAGTGGAAATAGCTCTAATCAGACGTTTCTTCTGATTTTTGACTTTGATACGTACAAGAGTACCCGCAATTAAGCATAATGGGACTTATCTTCTCAGAAATCAACTCATCATTTCGGCTTGAGCCTAGCTTGAGAGCTTGAGATCTTTCCCACGAGCACGAGCCCAACCTTCTACGAGACAGGTTGGCTCAAGCTATGGGCAAGGTTCGGCTTGAGCCGACTCGTCGAGTACACTACATGATGATTGGGCTTAGAATCACTTGATCTTGATTCCGAGAGCCGCCATGGTCCCTTTAAATACGTCCTACAAGCCAACAAAATAGTAGAACAAATTGAGCGACAGAAAAAAACCAACTACATGTACTTATTTAGAATGTCCCTTGAAGGGCCGATAGGCACCACATGATTCCAACGGGCATGATTGAGAAGAAAACATGTACATTCTATGGACAAAGTAAACACCGTGAAGCTGACCGGAACCGGGTATATCTCTTGGCACGGCCGTGAAACTTGCCGATGCCGCGGCTTCCTATCTCAGGCCCTTCCAGTGGCAAAGTCCCGGAATCTGCAAGTTCTACTACGTAAAGGGATACAATTGCTTTCTCTACATCTGTCGATCGTAAGGTTACATGTAGTTCGATGCAGAATTTGGGGCTCCATGTGGCTTAGATGAGCCTGTTTCCGCTACATGATTGATATCAAAAAGAACTGTCAACATACCTTCAATTGTGACTTTGCTAAAGCTGGTGTCTGATGCCACATGCAGTTACTGGCTCACCTGGTGGTTTGTCATGTAGTAGGGATTTGATTCTAGCTATATAGGAAAATTTGTGTTGAGATAACGATACAGTAGATCTTACGTATAACTAAGTACATGTATGCACGCGCAAACAGAATTAACCCCACAGGACAGAGGGGTATATCGCATCAAAGAAAACAAAACAAATGCAAAACCCTAGATGGGACACCACCGATCCAAGGGAGAGCGTGCCCATTCTCTCCCTTTTAGAATTCACAAGATATGTACCTGTTTCGTTGAAGCTAACTACAGATTCGCATTAACCCCTAGGTCCGGACCGAGTGGTCAGATTCTGCGGCCGATAACTGCATGTAGCTAGTCTGCCGACGGTTGCGATGGGGTATATTCTATTTGACGTCTTAGAGCTGCATAGGGTAGATCGTCGGGGGAGGTCTGTAGCTACATGTATTGATGTGGAACACCGGGATGGCAGTAGCCTAGGCTAACTTTAGAACCTGATAGGAGTTCCGCGGGGAGAGGATATGGTGATTTTGTTAACGTTCCGGCGCGGGTGTTTTTCTTTGAGCGGACGGAACACCGCGGAAACATCCGATAGCGTCGTAGCGGGTCACTCGGTTGATTCACCGGCTCTCACTCGCGTCATGACGCATCACCCGGAGTACTAGTCATCGGCCGAATTGTAGATTGATGGGTGTTGTTTGTCTTACTGTGTTGCTGGATCGTGGCCATGGTGGTGGAGCAGGTGCCGGTGGTAAGAGTCTGGTTCTGTAGTTGTGGTTGTAAAGTGTAGATTGTGGTTGTGTTGTTGTTGAGCCGCACCCATGTTCTGTGTGTGACGCGGGATGATGTCATCACTCCCGACAGATCCTCTCGCTTATCTGAGATTAGATAAACGAACCCCGCAGCCGCACCCGCACCCGCACCCGCACCCGCACCCTGGCAGAGCCTCAGAGCCTCAGAGCCTCCAATCTGCAAGGACGCAACCTCACACCGCAGTGCACATCTCACCCTGCAGTCTCCGGCCTACGACGTCTCGGTCTTTGTACTTCCGACTATATATACTAGCTGACGCCGCATCCATCAATCACAACACTCTTGCGATCGACCCTTCTTTGGTGCGGCATCTATGTACATCTGTTCCTCTGCCGGCACGCCTCCCTTCTGTTAACTCATTAATGGATCCACACAGACACGCCATGGTCTCGCGCCAACCCCCTCGTGCCACCAGCAACCGGTGAAACTACGGTAATTCGGTGGTGGGTTCGGTTTTGGGGGGTTGGGCTGGCAGTTTCATACACACGCCGCGTCTGAACTGTCGTCGCCCGGGACGTTTTTGTGGCCTCACCGTACGGGGATGGTCGTGCTCGTGATGCGGCACACGGCGTGGGCAATAGAGAAATCCGCGCAGTCTTCAGTACTCATTCTGGGGTCTCGCTAAGGGGCTGTTGGGTTGTGAAGGCGTGACTGTGGGTGGTCGAATCGATATTGCATGAAGCCAAGCGCAGATAGTCTCTTTCGCACAGAAAGGCTCGACACAGGTCTGATGTAGGACACAGGTCTAAAGGGAAGGTAACTCACCGCTAGCGGTGAGGGGTTTATTCGTCTGGCTTGTTTACTTGCTGTGAAGGAAGGAGATGGTATGAAAGCCGGCGTGCTGCGCAGTGGTGCACGTGAGTCTTGGCGCATAGCTCAAGCCGGAAATATCTCAGCTTGTGTCCTGGGGCGAGCCCTGTAGCCACCGAAAAAAATTCATTTGGGTGTGAGAACGAAGGCCTCGAGATTTGACGAAATTAACCGGCCTTTTACTGGATTGGATTTCGAGAGAGCATTCTGTAAGTATTGAGAGGTCCGAATAATGATACATGGTTCTAACGATTCCAACAGCATCTTGCATCATCGGGAACACCCCAGTCCCGCTTTTGTGGGGCAGACTTCGCAAAAACACCAATACTGAGGCAGAGAATTTGGTAAAAGGCTCGAGGTTTGAATATGGGAATGAATTGAGGAGAGACGAGATGAGGCCTGACTAAAATTGGTTCGATCACATCAAGTCCTGTTCCCAAGCTTAAGGCCGCCAATAGCTTCAATGCCGCCTTGAAACAAGTACGACCACTCGTTGTGTTCATTCCACTTCAAATAAGAAGTAGAGTGAGAGATGCAAGACCCACGCTAACTGCCTCATATCTTAGCTATGTACCCACGATCTCATTAATTCATAAACGGAGGTACTGAAAACCTATTGCCTGTTCGTTACATCTCTAATATTTGGCTATAATCACAGATCTGATGGCCGTCGTAGATCGATCCTAAGTTCTACCTTGAAGCTCTTTGATGGGACTATCTCGTTCGGGTATGGAAAAACAGCCCCTCCCCACAAGACTTCAGTGTGAGACTAGAAAAGACAAAACCTGAGACATAATAGGCCCTTTGCGCCAAAGACTCCAGCTCCAAATTCCGGTAACCTGATTGGCACCGATCCTCCCATCAATCAATCATGCAAGTAGAATTTGGAGCCAGCTCTGTCCGCACAAAGGGACTAATTTTCGCCCTTGATATATTCAAGATGCCGCGGGGAAGCGGGCATGAGCTTGTTCTCTATACCGCCAAGGATCTTTGCAGGTACTCCCGTTCGAATAGTGAACAAAGTACAGGTATGTACTAGACTATCTATTTAGTAGGGTGGGAATAACATTTACAGAGTTCTGGCTTGAAAGACCCTGTGACAGCTCAACACTAGTAGCGATTGAAGCTTAACACCAGATTAAGTACTGTCACTCATGCACAGGGGTGCTTTGGCCAATGGGAAAGAACCTGGTTTCTCTAATGTTCTCTTTTGGGTGTAATCCGTCATTACACCTTGAGTGATAGTACTCAAGCAAACCACTAAGGTTCAGGCTGGAACATGTCTGAGAAGGCTGGTCTTAGTGCTTGGGCCAACGTCCCTCTCGCTAGCTTGGTGTGGTGAGACGGGGCGGATCGGACCTTAATTGAAATCTATACCTGAGGTGCTACATCTAGATACAGAGGTTGGAAACAAGGCTTTCTAAAGACGCTGCCTAGCTAAAAATCCAATCTCACGGAATTGCGTGCTCATGAGAGATTTTCGGAGGCAGTCAGGTGACTGTATTTACTGGGGTCTCATATTTTCTCAAGGCTCTCAAAATTCTTCTCCATATTTCATGGGCTGTATCCGGATCAGTCAAAGTTTCCTGAATATGGGTTCCTGGTATCCAAACCCTTTCAGCAATATACGTTAATGCTCAGCGCCTGTACCTGATTGTAAGCCAGGGAAGAAACCTACCTCGCATGTCTGATGTTTGATATCTACACCGAGTGTGTACTCGCGCCGAGAAGCGGAGAGGAAATTAGTACCGGAGAACTTAGTTAAAGCCGTGGGGAAAGACAAGCATCTCAAGAGGGACGTGTATCGAAATTTTGTATGTACCTGCAGCTCTCAACCGATAGAAGCTGCTGGACATGTCTTGGATAGACCTGAGACAATGTCTCAAAGAACGGGAAGGATATATAGGCTAGTTAATCAACTTTGATTTTCATAATGCCAACTAGTCAGATATAGGTAAGGCCGCCACAACAGAATTGTGGGCTGAAGGTCATTGAATCTAATTTATGCGTGTGTTTGAAACAGGTACTCTCGAGAAATATGTCGCAACTGGCAACGGCAACGGCAGTCACCCAGCACAGAACAAGTATTCTTGGTGGGAATGCGGAGCAGATACTGCGTCCATAGGCCGCTCAGATAATGTTTTCTCAGTTTTTATGGGCCCATTTTCCGTCTGCCCTAGGGTCTGATTTTGATGGGTTCGGTATCTTCGCTCTATACGTACAGTAAACTCTTAACCCCCTTTGTGAAAGAGCTTTGGTGCTCAGCGCTCCCCTTTCCCTCCTTTCCTCTGCTGGTTAGCACTCCCGCCTTTGCTAACCTTTACTTTGCACGAATGTCCATATTTGTGTACAAGTATTGAGCAATTGCAAGCGCCTCCATAACGAAGCCGTTCGATAAACATGTGCCATGCGGTAGGTTCTTCCGAAGTGTCCCGGATATCTCTTATAAGCATAATAATGCATTTCTCTCCCCCAACTTGGCACCATATCACCTCGTGTTCTTTTGTAACCCATGATCTGAGACATCACATATTCGCATATCGCAGTGATTAAAGGTTTTCCTGGCGTGCAAAAGCTTTGGATCAACCAAATCACACAATCAAAGACATTATGAGTTGCTTTAACTTGACACGGGTGAGGGGTTTGGGGGAAAAATATGCTCCATGCTGCCCCCTCTTGCAAAATATCCACGGGATTCGAATATGCACACATACAAAAATGGATATCACGATAACAATTCGGTTGAAATAGACTCGGAGTAAGTGAAAATCCTTTAATGTTCAAACTCTGACCTAAAGTACACATATCCCTCATTGGCTCAGGTCGTGCGCCAGGAAACGAAGGTTCAATAGAATCTCATCCCACTATAAGGTTTCAAAGGCTTTCGAACTATGCACTGGGGACAAGAAGTCTGGCTTCCGGTACTGTCGTCCCAGGCAGCTCAGGTCCAGATGAATCAGTCTAGATCTCAAGGCGACTCTCGTAGGCAAAAACAAGCCTTTTCTCAGCGGCATCCAGCGGAGAAAGCCGTTGAGTAGGTCCAGATCAGATAGATGTAGCCGGTCTGAGATACAACTCTTTATTTTCCCCTGGACGTGGAAGCCATCGCTATGGATTTAGAGTTTGTGAAGTTTTTTTATTTGCCTTTGCCGGTAAGTAATTAATGTATTTTGCAAATACCTCGGGCTTGGGCGCTAAATCACATGCATAAAGAAATAGTGGGGTAATTCCACAACGAACAAAAGCTGTGGCATTTAGAATTATCGATTTGTCAAAACCTTATTTCTTGCAGGCAGATGTAAGGTCTTCTTGGCGTAAATAGAGTTTTGTTTCCTCGCAGGGTCAAGTTTGTGGATCTGAGACCCGAATATTTCACAGCCACAGAATCAAGACATTGGTGCCTCTTGGCAAATTTGAGAATGTTTCAGCGCAAGAAACAACGGCTACTACCCAATTACAATGGAGATAACTAGCCGCCACAGAAAAAGAATTTCCTTGTTTACGTCCTGGAGGCACGGTTCAAGCCACATGCCGGCTTGGTGCCTGGCCTGATTATACTTTTTCTTGCAACTTGACACCAGAGGTTTTACTTTCTGGATTTTTACAAGCTAATGTATCGTGTGGACTGGTCTTCGCAGAATGTTGTTGTCTGCGGAAATGATCACAATTGCAAATTCTGAAGGCCCACATTAAAACCTCAGAGGGGAGAGATGAGATCATATAAGAAGGTCTACTTTCCACTCCAAATGGAATTCTAACACACATCTCTTGAAATAGTACGCTCAGCACATTTCATAGTATTGGAGGATTCTCATTTGTCATTATGAGTCACGGGTTCTGACTCATTATCTCTTTGGTATTTATTAGTCATGTCTTTCTATTACTCATACGGCTATGATTTACTATGTTTTGTGTTACCTTTCTTTAGTATAAATATGGGGCATTCCCCCTTCTCTACTTAGTTGGAATAACACGCTCAATTACTACACTTCTCTACATACACTTTGTCTAGGTTATGAGCCCGGAGACCATCTACGCTTAAAACACTCCAAACCATTTTTACTATCAAAGTACACTCTATTATTTCACTTTAAAAACATGTCGAACAACAGTGTAAAAATTCCCGCTTTACCATGCAAGCTGTCTGGCCAAGGCCATTACACTGTTTGGAGGGACCTCGCTTATCGAATGTTAAAAGTTGACGATTTGTGGAATCTACTCAATGGTATGAGTAAGCGTCCTGCGTTCACCACCACGGTTACAGCGGCACCACTTGCAGAACAACCAGCAGAAGGTGCAGCAGCAGCAACACCAGCAGAAGAGGACGAAGAAGAAACCACAGACAATACCGAAGAAATCAGTGAATGGGACAAGAAAGATAACCTCGCTGTCGTCTTCCTTCAATCCAACATCAAATTTGAAGTCATTCTCACACTCACTCCGGCCGATACCGCTCACCACCTCTGGACTCAACTTGAGGACAGATTTGATCGGAAAACTGTATCTTCCTTCCACTCGCTTCTTGCCAACGTTATAACCCTATAGTATACGCCTGACAAAGGCATCAAGGAATATCTAACCCAGTTCAATACTCTTTGGTCATCCCTCCTCACTAGAACTAGTAACTCTACAGAGAAAATCAAAAACCCACTCGGTTACCACCTCCACCAACTCGCATCAGTCTCAGAAGCTAAGGTATCATTCCTACTCCTCTCACTCCGGCACGAATCCCTCGAATCAGTCGTTGACAACCTGCAAACCAAGCCCAACGTCACTTTTGATGACGTCTATAAAAAGCGGTTGGATTTGGACACACGGCGCAATAACGATGGACAAGCGGGTGGAGAAGCCTACAACATTAGGTGAGGAAATCCAGGACATGGAAACAACAAAGTCGGCAAGGCACGGAATAATAAAAAAGACAAAAAGGATCTCACATGCACATGATGCACCAAGAACGGCGAATTCGCAAAAGGCCAAACGCATAAAGACTGCTGGAAACTCAAAGCTTTCAGAGACAAAGAGAAGTCCGCTACATCTAGCAACCTCAACGTCGCATCAGGTACTGCATTTCACACACAACTAGATCTCTCTTGGATTCCCGACCACTCTGGCCTCTCCGCACTCGAAGAAGCTGATGCATTTAATATGCTGGTTTCTTTCGACTTTACCACTTTCCCAGATACTTCAGATGTCACAAAGGAAGTATAACGGGGGTTTTTTCTAAGAAAAAATAGAATTGGATAGAATAGAGATGGCCGTGGAAGATATACAATCAGGATGCAGATTATTCAAAGATACTATCGCTAGAACACAATAACCTTTAAGGGATATGTCACCGATAAGAACTTGATTTTTTCTGATGAAGACTGGAGAGAATAGCACTGAAGGGCGAGAATAAACCTGAGTACTTATACTCTGAAGACTTCTATTCTCTACTCCTAACTCCTTACTAAGTTTCGGTGAAGCCTTTCTTTGATCCGGAAAACCATAAAATTGCTACCCGCTTTTCTCTAAGCGCCAGCAGATGTTTCCGATACTCAAGGCAACCAATCTTAGTCAAAGCTTTTGTAATACCTGCAGCCTTAGTCGCCACACAACCAGGGCCTGCATGAATGAGCTGCCACTAATGTGTAAGCTTAATCATTCCTGTGGAGCTTTCGCTTATTGTAGACTTCCCTGGTACAGTCTCTGCCACTACCGGTGGACTTGCAATACTCAGAGAATACAGAGGATCACCGGACAATCAGTGCTTCACTCTGGCCAGCATTCTAGTCACTGGTAAGATAAAGACTCATTAGTTATTGCTGCCATGAATAGATCCCCTTCCTAGTGCCCAGAATGTAGTTACTCTAACAGATGGTAGCTAACTATACTGCCGGTACTTACATATCATTGTGCAACTGGCTTCTAACAATAACTCTCAGTATGTAACCGGGCCCTATGTGTACTCATACATCAGACAATTGAAATGTTTCTGTTACACTACTCCGCTCTTGCTGGATCTTAGTCTACTAGATCGATAACTGTTCTATTACCATCCATTCTATGTGACAAAAATTTCTGTGAGATATAAGGAACGAAAACCATTAGGTGTTTTATGGTATCTGAGCTAGTGAACATATTAACACAGGCTCTTCGTTAGGAGCATGCCCACCTCGCATCAATCTCATCCGCTTACGCTACTTCCTCTTCTTCCATGGAGCAATCTTCAAGGGAGCAGTCCGCTCTTGTATCAGAGTATTCTCGCAAAAGAGAGATTTTGCTAAAGCATTACGCTGTGTCTGACTATCCGCTATATCAACAGTATGTATATTCCGCTGGTCGTGGTGATGATGATGGGAGCCAATTAACTTTGACCATACACTGTAGTGTTTTCAAGCCGTTGATAAAGGATTTCTATCAGTGTTCCTTTGAGGAACTCTCGATTGGATGTTCATGTCAATTCACAAAGGCATAAACCGATGTTTTACAGTAGTCAGAGGTGGCGCAATTGGTTTTGCTGTAGGCTGACCTACCGGATTATGCGGTGGATAAGCCAGGCTGCCTAAATTCAATCCAGCGGAAGAGCTTTGTCAAGCCCAGCATGTATTGGCTGGATGCCATTATCGAGACAATAACTATAGGGAGGTACTCCATCACTCAACGTGCATGGGAGAGCACGCTCATTGAGGCGCTGAAAAAGGAGTCGGTCCGAATCTTACCGGGTCCATGTAACGGTTCGATAAGTAGGAGACGGTTCACTCACGTTATGGACTATACCGGCATAGATACCACCAACTACGGCAATAGCCTCTTGAGCCCTGTATCGAAAAAAGGCACGATAACACTTTACAAGAACAGCGCAGAATTTCGCACTTCACTGCAGAGTGTCTTTGCAAAACAAGCGAGGAAGATGGTGGCTTTCCCCCTGGCGATACCTCTTCAAAAGTTACCTGCTGATTACGTTTTTGGAATGAAAAGCTTCATAGCATAGTACGAGATATCCGGAAAACAAATATCCGGCAACAAGACCCACCGCTTCGGGGGGAGTAAGCAGAATATAGCCAATTTTGTCTGGCACAGGGCAGGTGTCTTACAGCTCAATACCCCCCAGCACAACCTCTTCCTACTGATAGGTTTTATCTTATCTCGTTGTAGCCCACCTCCTGTCGGAATTGAGTACAATGACATAAGACTTCAGGATAAAAAGCTCGAGTTTGGTAGAAAAGCAGGTGCAGTCAAAGACGAATAGTATTTTATTTTCATTGTTAAGTGTTTGATGTATAGCGATCCAGAACAAGTAGACAGATATTCGGATAAGATATGCACATCAAAGGAGTTCAAAAAGATTATAGGTGAGGATTACTATAGTTAATATGTGTAACACGTGTATTATGTTTATGTGATTTACTGACTGTTTCCTGTTTTACTCTTTAGAACACAAAAAGAACATGGGTAGACTGCTGGAAATTCTGGGGATCTGTGAACGTACCAAGGGGTACGCCATTTACAAGAATGGAACAGCTCAAGATGATTTCTACCGAGATACATGCCGACAACTTCCGAAGCGCAGCCAGTGTCTCAAAAACGGGAGTGAGGGCCGTAATGGGAATGTGGCTACCGGAAAATCTCCTTGATAAAGCCTTGGCGGTTCTAAAGAATGACAGCGATAATTTCGAAGAGGCATTCACGTGATACTACTCGTGCCGGCTGCATGTACTCTAGATAATACTTGAAGTTAGTTGTATGTGAACCAATTATAATAGGAATAATGAGTATGCTTTTGAAAGATGAAACTGTCAAATTCGGAGCCTCCCTGTTTGAGCTAATACTAGCTCAAGCAGGTATCTAACACTTATGTTCGATTGGCTCTATGGCTAGTCTCAACCATTAAGACCAATGGTTTGACAACTTTGCCTAAGCAAAATCCTACTGCAAGTGAGGTATTTGACAACTCTGCCTCTGTGAAATTCTACCGTGCGGGAGGTAGACGCAGAAATTTACCCGCAAAATAGCTCTGTACGAGAGCTACATGTAGGAAGTTGAGTCTGCAAAATCTTCCCGTATGGGAGGTGTGCAAAAAAAATTCCCTGAAAAATCACCCTGTACAGGAGGTATTTGACAACTCTACCCCTGCAAAATCGGTCCGTACGATAGCCAGGTACACGCAGTTGACTCTGCAAAATCCTCCCGCACAGAAAGTATAAGCAGAAAATTCCATGAGAAATCACCCCTTACGGGATGTAGGTGCAGGCAGTTGACTCTGCAAAATCACCCCACAGGGGAGGTATTTTACAACTCTACATCTCTAAAGTCCTTTTGTACAGGAGGTATTTGACAACTCTACCTCTATATAATTCTCTTGTACGGGAGGTATTTGATAACTCTGCCTCTGCAAAATTGCCCCGTATGGGACTGATTTGACAAGTGTATCTCTGCAAACTCAGGGAAGTGAGCTCAGCGTTGAGGTTAGCAATGATACAAATTGTGTATGTTCAAGTTCTGTAACGACCGTATGGTTGCGATCTAGACAATGTTACTATTGCTGGAACCACAGTACAGTATTTAATTTGGCATTGCTCCAGGTAGTGCACCGAGCGTACAATACCTGATTCAAGTTGAATAATATTATAGGTGCTAGAATGATTATATAATACTTATTTATATGTATGAATTGGATTTGAACCACACACAAGCTTGAGTGTGCAAAACATTGAAATTCACCTACTCTATATAGAAATCGGATTCTCCATGCACTTCCTCAACCTCTCCGTACAAATTCTCGACCATGCAAATCCACAACCAGCCGCAAATCCGCAACCGAGCACAAGCCCACTTCAACATTACATCCACCACCGGCTCTCCACCACGAATCTCCGCCACTGGGTCCTCACCACCAAATCAAGCACCTCCCTCTGCAGTCAATTGAGTGCCTGCACCATCACCAAATCAGCACCAAATCTGCATCAAATCTGCAGCAATTCTGCAGCAATTCAGGCAGCAATTCGACACGTACACCACCATCAAATTGAGCACTCGATCTTCAGGGATTGTGCAAATAATAGGTTATAAACCTACTGATAGTTACCAGCTTCTCCCACTAAATCAATACAGTGCATCCTACAGAACTGCCAACACCTGCAGGTAATCAAGCCCTGAATTGGCACGTAATTGTAGGTAGAAGGGGGTGATATCACATGAGTAGATGGATGTGGGTGATGTCGCATGATCAGGTGGATTTGAGTGATATCCTGTTACAAATTATTTATTTATTGTTAACGAGAGTTAGGTCAGTGTTTCTGAGCTCATAGCCCGTGGCAATTCTGATTCCACCTTTTGTTGCAAGCTGACCTGGAGATTCTGTTTGTAGGAGTTGATAATTTGGCAGAGCATTTTAGATTCAGCCACCTCTATGACAACGCTACTCGAGATTTGCAGGTTATTTTTTCAGTTACTCATAAAGATATATCCCGTCTGCAATCCATCCACAGACAGGCTGTACTGGGTCTCAAAAATTCTAACCCTAACAAATTGGTCTGAACTATATTTAATTGAAACATTTGGCTCTATGGCAGATATAGGAATACCTCATTGGAAATTTATACCATAGGTTACACGCCTACAATGACAAACGTAAGTATATTACTAGTGAGAGACTCTTTCACACTGTTTTCAATCCTGAAAAACTAACAATAGCAGCGTGGAGTCTTTATTTCTATAAAACTGGGTGATTTATTCTAGCAGCCTGGTTACATTCAGAGTCCTACCAACAGCACATTGGCGTTGATAACAGGTTAATCATGTGAGAGGAACTACCTATTATGATGACACCATGACAGTTGAACTCGTCAATCACTTTAGCGCTCCAGTGCCCTTCGCCATATATATGACCACACATGACGACGGCACTTAACGTTTCCTGAAAAATCTCCATATCTGATGGTGTATAGGTCTCCAGGAATATTTACTGATATATTAGAAGATAGGCAGAGAGAGTGGAAGGCAGAGAGGGCAATAGACTGTGATATAGAAAGAGTTATAATCCATAATGATGCAACCACCTCCAGCTCCACCTTGTCAACATTTAGAATTATAACGCATTGGGCAACACAACCCGAACCCATCTCCTTGGTGAAATATTTCGTTAAAATGGAACCTGATCGTGATGGCAGATTGGAGGTCGTGGTTGTCGAGTGGGAGAATGTAATCTTGTAGGGCAATGTCGGACAGGATTTTAAGGTTGCCCAAGAACCGTCGCCCCACAGTTCCCGGCTCGGTAGTTATGGGTTGAACAGGATGACCTGAGTCTATTCCCATCGCCAGGTATATACATACAGGGGATCGTAATTGTGATTGCAGGGGCGGAGGTGGTGGTTGTGGACTGTTGAGTAGGGTTACTCACTATGAGTCTTGGCAACCCATCTTGGTTCACTCCCGGCACCGCCACTTACCGGGCGGGTACAACGATCGATGACTGCATGGCACCGAACAAGCCATCTCGAGCCCACGATCATGACTGTGCACGAAATTCAATGATGCCGTGTTTCCCCATCCTCTGCTTCGAGGGAATATATATATTTCGGATTGTGAACTCTAGATTACCGCATTGGGCGAATGCCACTATTTGTCTCCGCTGTATCTTCTTACGCTCTCGGATTCTATACTCCAGGTCACCACTTTACTGAGTTTCAATGCTCGTAATCCTAACTACCCACGAGCAGGTTTCAACCACCACCAAATACACATTGATGTATTTCATTTTGACCGAACATTGTATTTTGTACACGTAACCAAACAATATTTGAACTTTCATAACCCAATTACCCACAATCAGGTTTCAACTACCATCAAATTCACATTGATGTATTTCATTTTGAGCGAAGATTGTAGCAGATCTAACAAAATACACTTTCAACGCTCGTAACTCTACCACAAGCAGGTTTCAATCACCATCAAATACACATTGATGTAGTAACAAAATCCACTTTCAACGTTCGTAACCCTAACTACCCATAACCAGGTTTCAACTACCACCAAATACAGATTGATCTGTTACATTTTGACCAAAAATTGAATTTTGTACCAATAGAATAACATAACGACCTGAACAAAAACAGATAGAAAAGTGTCAATTCAGTATTCTGTCCTACATTCTGATTCCGATACATAACCATGAAGGTTGCAATTACCAGTCTTCGGTCTGTATCGTATCATTGTTCAAGACACTACTGAGCAATATTGAATCGCTGGATAGATATGCATGTCTACTAGGACAGCATGTAAAGCAAACACTAATGGTGAAATTGGTTACTACTGTTTGTGATAGCTTGAGAGGTATAAATATCAATCGAAACAGAAAGTGAATCAGAGTTTGCAATTGAGATTTGTTGGTATGGTTTGCTATGATTCGATTTGTATGCACACTTGTTGTGGCAGAATGTAAATCAGGAATAGTAAATAAGATTTGTGAGGATTTTTGGCAATCGCTTGATACGTATGCATAGAAATCGGAATGGCAAGTAAAGTGTATACCGATAAGAAAAGTTTTCTGTATGATGTTTCAACACTAAATAGGAGTCCATACCTGTCAGAAAAATATTCGAATCAGTAATTAGCAGTGAAATTGGTTGATATCATTAATAATTGGTTCATACTTATCCGTTCTTATCAGAACAGCAAATTTAACAGTTATTCACAAACAAAACCTTTTGTATTATTTACAATCCTTTGATGGGTATGTATCAGGACAGCGAGTGTATCGGAAATTGAAATTCTCATTTCTTACAATCGTTCATGAAGGTTTGAAAGCTATGAATATTTATTGGCACAGTAAAATACTGAAATTGAAACTCAATATATTTGATGGCTTGATTGATATACCATGTTCTGGATCAATGTTGAATAGATTGAATACTGCACTATGGTTTGCAAAATATCTTCTCCCAAAACACGAGGTTGCGGCTTTCCAATCCATTCTGAAATATATACAATCTATGATCATATTCTGAACTTGAGAGTGAACAATATTGAGCACTTATCTCTAAAACTCATTTATTTAATTGATAACAGTCTTCATAACGTGTATTCTGATATTTTGTATTTTTGTAAACGGGTAGGAATTTGATGATGTCCGCAAGATAACATCTGTTCCACCTCACCTACCTATTAACAGTATGCGCCTGAATTCCCCCAAGCCTTTAGAATTAGGATTATGGGTTCTTTTGATTGAGAATATCAAATTTGAGCTGACTGGCGGTCAGTATAGCACTCAATGGCTTGAGCGTAATCAGTGTAACCCAATTCAGATCCTAAAACCTTGTCCGATTTCAGATATCGATTGAATAATTTAGTAGGTTACAAAGGGTCGAATTGATCAGAAAGGTTCTATGGATTTCTAGAAGATTCAGTTGATTTTAAGGGTATGAGTCGCTTGGGATTTGTGATTGCTAAGCTTTCTTTATGTATATTAAGGCGCTTTACCCTCGATTCTATTCTCTTTCCCTCTCTTTTCTTCTCTTTCTTTTGGTACGCAAAGGCTTAGGTAATCTACGCTGGCTATTGCTATTCAAGTACTATTTTCTCTTCCTTTATAAGGAGGCCATCTCACTTGTCCGTCCTTAACACCGCTAGACCTAAACTACTGTAAGTTTCTCCAACCCCTCTCGCTGATTGACCTACCAGCCCCTATGACCATCTCCCGTACCCTGCGGAATACTCGCTACCCAACTCCCTAGGATTACGTTGCGTCGTAATCCGCACCATACGCCATATCCACCCTCAACTGACCTACATGGGTCTCATCTAACAAAATCGAGTAGTTTAACCATCAGTACGAATAGAATACTGCTGCCCTGTTTGACCACCTCCCTACTAGGTTTTAAATAATCCGAAATAAGAGGGATAGTGCTCGTACACTGCTCTCCGCCGTCCACAAAACCATTGGCTACCTGGAAGAGCAAGTAATACAGGTCAACCTTGACCTCAATGTTGAACACACCACCTCTGCCCCCAATGTTCCTATCACCATTTTCGCTGCTACTGCACCAACCACTGTCTCCACCTTTGGGTCTGAAACTTTCCCCGAAAAGTTTGATGGCATCCGGACCAAAATCTCCGGATTCGTTACCCAACTCCAAATGAAGCACGAAGTCAACCATGATCGATTCCGCAATGGGACAGCAAAGGTTATCCATGCGGTCAGCTCTTTGGAGGTAAGAGTCCTTGATCAGGTAATACAACTTGTTAACGCCAATCCTGCTGACTTCTTTTCCTCCGTCACCTTCTTTGTTGCCCACATGAAAGGCTCATTTAGAGAACTAAACACTCGAAGTACCAACCACCGCCAACTCGTCCCCCTGAGGCAAGGCAAAGGAGACTTTGCCACCTACTACTCGCAGTTCATCAGAAACGTGTCCCACTTGCATTACAATAAAGGGGTCAAGATTGACGAATTGGCGGAAAGATTGTCTGACAACTTTAAAGACATCATGACCTATCGAACGGACAGAGCCAATATGTTGGAAGCATATGCAAGCATGTCAGTGACGATCGATAAAAACATGTGACTGACGTGTTATGATGAGGCACAACCGTGATTTTCTTTCGAATAGTGTAAATAAAGAGAGCAAGTTTTGATGATACTCGTTCAGAACGAATAAAAGGGAGTTTGTATGTTTGAACGTTCTCAAGTCTAGAAAATTATAACTTTAAGGGGTCTTCTCTCTATTAAAGATCCGTTGATGATGAGAGGCCAACCTGGGGCAACACCGAGTCCCTTATAGGAATACGGCGCATTTGCTCAAGTTTTTTTTCCGACTGACAGTCTGCCTATTGATAGTCAGGGGTACAGCAACTATTTTCTATCAAGGGAGAGGAGAGTAACTACGACACCTTGGATTAACTTCTGTCCGAGTCAAATCATGCAATTTGCTGAAATCTGTGGTTGGAATCTCAAGAACTATTGGAAACAGCCGACCAGATAATAATTGTTGATTCTAACTTTATTAGAACCGAGTTGGGTGTTTGTAAACCGAAGTTTTGCTTTAGTAGCTTGAGTCGCACTCCCACTCCACAAAGATGCTCCGGAGCAAAACAGGAGCATTTCGACAGTTTGACACTCCGGAGGTTAGTGTTGGGGATTAAAACGTGTCTTTGGAATTAGATTTTCCATTAGCTCCGGGACACCGCCATAATTATTTCTGTCGTGCTAAAGCATGGTCTTTGAGCATCGGTTGGAGATATATGAAACCTGAAAGATTCGACTGACCAGGTATGGAACTGCCGTCCGGGGTTCCCTGTTCTATCAGCCATCTTTGTTCTTCTGTTCCAGGCTTGCTCAGCCCCTATTTTTGACTTGTAAGACTTCTTAATCATTCAGATCACTGTCCTCTATACCACTAAAGGTAGGAGCCTAACTGCCCTTGTCTTTACGGGTCGATGAAGAACAAGCTGCTGTTACTTTGGGTCGGTGGCTTAACTGATAGAATAGGTTCTTTTGTAACAGCCTGATAGTGGCCTTGTTACATTAGTCCTCTCTATTGTAGAGTCGTTTTGAGTCCACTGTAGTGTTACTGTAACATTGGTATTTGGCATAGAAGAAGAACTGTAGCTCTATTGGTGATTACGTACAAACTACATGTCTGTTTCTATCTCCATCAGAGAAGGAAAACTCTCAAATGAAATTCCTTTTAAAAACAAAGAAAATGACATATTCTCCACTCTTGTCGCAGAACCTTCCGTTTCACTAGTGGAGATTTCGATGTTAGCAAGAATCTTTCTTTTTCCCTTGTCTTTTTTACGCGGGTTTCCCCACGCTTCAGTTTTCTATCGTTTCTTGCATTGTTTTCAGGGAAAGATGGTATCCGAGCTCTGTCAGAACGATGAAAAACCTGGTATAGGAGAGTTGATTTTTTCCCCGGATTTCTTCTGGGATACAGAGCTACTCACGCCATGTTTTGAGGATCCCTAGAGTTTCACCGTATTTTCCGATATTTTTGCGGGTATTTTTGATGAAATTTTTTCAGGGCCTCATCGGCTGTTCCTTGCAGAATTTCGTATGGTTCTCAGCAGTCTTCCGAACGATAGCCCTCCCAAACAATGCGATACTCTACAAATATCTTCTAATGCCCAACCTGTTGCCATCGGCTATTAGCTATTTCTTGGACAACGTGACTGTATTCTCCTTCGACCTCATCTGGAGTAGG